CAAAACCAACCCCTTATTTAAAGCTTGTCGGCCAGTAATGATTTATGGATGCCAGCTATATATCTACCAGTTTACCATGGCACTGTGCAATGAGACAATATGGTCGACCCATATATATCAAGTCAAGTCCATAATATATATATATATATATATATATTAAAACTACAGTGTTTGTGAATTAAATATATATATATATATATATATTAAAACTACAGTGTTTGTGAATTAAATAAATAATTGTTAAGAAAGAGAAAAGTCTGCTAAATCTGTATGGATGGGCAATTTCCAACCCTAACTTGACCATGGCAAAGTCTACTAGCACACTTTGTCCAACTTAACTTGTAAGCTAAGCTAGAAAATAGACAGTTTAGAAGCTACTTTCCGACAAGCCGGTCGGCCAGTAATATTTGATGAATGCTAGAGCTATGTATCTACCAATCTACCGTGGCACTTTCCAACACTAGAGACAATATACTTGACCCATATTTGGCGAGTCAAGTCCAAATATTTAAAAATCTGGAATCAGATAATTTACAACCAAAGTGTTGATGCACAAAAGCTGATCACCTTAAAGTTGGTCTTGTAGAATTATTAGAGTGACGGATTGAATGCCCACTTCTAACAACATTGGTATTGTTATCAACTTGGTAAGTATTATTTGCATAATTTGTCAGTTGTTGGGCTTTATCATAAAAAACCTCGGTGTTAGTTAGACTGGGGTAATGATACTTAAACTCTTCTTTTGTCATTGATAAGGTCAACATAGGACATTTCAACACGCTCCCTCACATGAGACCCAATTAGTGAGTCACACGTAAAAGATCTACAAATCAACAACCATGTAAAGTTAAAGGGACTCATCCTACACGCAGGACCAAATCACCCAGCATCATCGCGTGAAAAGGTCCCTCCTTTGACAGATTTGCATAAGCTTGAGTGGTTAATCCTTGCTAACAACCATCTCAAAAGTAGGGGAATTGACGACTCGACCTTTCTGTGTGATTTGAGCAATGCCACCGTGGGCAACAGTTATGATGGGTGAGTAACCGCGGTTATTTACCCATAACTGTTTATGCTCATACGTGCATAATCGTTTACTGGTTGGGTAATTGCCTAAACGGTTATAGTCATACCCCATCTACATGTTTTTTAACAACTTGAAAATTAAAAAAAAATTTCATAATTTTCTTTTTTTTTAATAATTAAACACCGTTATAGGTACATTCATCATACATTTCCGTATTTTAATTTTTTAAGTCCTTATACAATTATAATAATTGAAATAATAGTTTAAGGACAATATTTTTAACTGTTACCAATGAAGGTAAATATAATATTTGGTAAGTATTATTGGATTACAAAAATTGTTTAGAAGACATTTCTGTCAAAGCATTTCTGTCAATTTCATGGTTACTCGCAAGGAATTTAAATTAATTTGGCGAATTCCTTGATGATGAGAATCATCATTCCTGTAGTAGTGTTATTGAGAGAAGGACCGATGAATTCCTTGCTAATTTATTGGGTGCTAAGTATTATTGGATCGAGAACATGATTTGTGTTAATTTTACATATATAAAATAAATGGATAAACAATTACCTGTTTATAACCACGGTTAATGACCATAACCGCCCATTTAAATTTCGCGGGTAAACGGTTATACCATAACCGTTTATTTATCTAAACGGTTACCTATAACTGTAACCGTTTAATTTAAATGGACGGGTAACCGCGATTACTCATAACCAATGAGTATTTGCCAATCCCTAATGCCGCCCATTTAGAATTTCTCGAAATGTTTTTTTTTTTTTTTTTTTTTGGGTCAAGAATTTCTCGAAATGTTTACCGACAAGTTTGGGGGCACGTTACCTCAATGCTTAGGAAACCTGTCTTCTTCTCTTCAAATATTCCATATTGCACAAAATAAAATATTAGGAAGTATCCCGAATGAGATTGTAAATTTGGCTAGCTTGGAGGTTTTGGGGATGCTGAGAACCAATTATCAGGTCACATTCCCCCTGCTGTAGGAAAGCTTCACAAGTTATATCTATTAAATTTGAGTAGGAACTCTCTCTCTTTGGCAATCTTACATCCTCTTTCGGAAATTTAAGTCAATTAAATGAGTTCAGCTTAAAAGGCAACAACTTCCAGGCAATATCCTGCCAAGTTTAATATAGAGTGTCAGAATTTGAGGCTCTTATATCTTGGTGAGAACAGTTTTAGCGGTATCATATCGTAAGAAATCATTGGTCTGTTGAACTTGTATATATTTAGTTTACCTCAAGATCATTTTCTTGGCTCCCTACCAAAGGATGTAGGAATTTTAATAAATCTTGAGCATATAGATATCTTTGAAAACATGTTATTCAGTGAAATTCCAGCAAGTGTAGTTAGTTGTATAAAATTAGAGTACCTAGACATGCATGGAAATTTCTTCCATGGGACGATTCCATCAACTTTAAGTAGCACAATAATCCTAATTCTTGTTGTGTGGCTTGTTCTTGGCAATCGACACTGAAATCTTAAACCTAACTACCTAAGCCTACTGCAACCATGGGAGAAAAGACAATATTGTCTTTTTTTTTTTATCAAGTATCTCTCTCTGTTGATCGGGATAATTCAGGAAATTCGGGAAGAGTTTAAATTGCTTCTAGAGATCGTGACTACATGACGCATGACGAGTCACTCTTTCATCCATGATTTATTCTCCAAAAGAGAGTGCCGTCGCTGCCAATGGAACTATAATCTCAGTAACAGAGCCTGGTCCAATTGCACTCACCCCATCTTTATCCTTACACAATACCTTGCTTCTTCCAGAATTATCAAATCATCTTTTATCAGTCAGTCAAATTACCGATCGATTAGGTTATATCGTACTAATGTTTCTAGTACATTTTTTAAAAGGTACCAACCTTTGGGCTAAAACCTAAAATTTTTAGTCCAGAAACAGTTTTTCTGCTCCACTACTTCTGGCCTAAATTTTTAGCCTCAGATTATTAAATAATGAATTTAGGCTAATTTTTTTTTCTTAAAGTAACTTTTTTTAAAAGAAAAAATTATGTAGACTATCATAATTTAATTTTATGAACATTTTAACCTAAAAATATTTAGATTCTGATAAATATTGAAAAATCACAAACAGACACCATGAAACTCGTTAAACGCTATGAAAAAATATGAAACACATAAAAGATTTTTTTTAAAAATAATTTAGCCGTTACATTTAAATTTGAACCGTTAAATATTTTTTTTACTGTTGAATTTCATCAAATTAGATCTTAACTGTTGGATTCAATGAATTTATAAATATAAAACTAAATAAAATACATATATATGGTGGGCCAGCCCCACTAATCATGGGCTAAATCTGGCTTTTGTTTAGCTTTTAGTTTTTAGCCCACACATTTAGCATGAATTGGGTTGGATTTGGGGGGAGAATAAAACCTAAAAAATAACATTTAGCCCAGGGTTGGAGATGGTCTAAGAGAAGGGGGTTGTATTATGTCGACGATGTGGCTCCTAGCAGAGTGAATCAAGTACGCAGTGGGAATCGTGACAAGATTTAGAAGATTTAGTTAAGGCATTGGCGACTTGGGCATGCCTCGTTTGGCTATTTACGGAAGTTGGTTATGTTATTATTTACTAGTATTTCAGACTTTGATAGCCACATGTGTCTTTCTTTCCCTATACCAGTTGCTCGAAGAAACATAAAGAATTAGATTTCAGGTGGTTCAGTTGGATCTTTTTCAACCACCACAGGATGACCCATGCTTCAGGTATAAATCTTTGAATGAAGATCATGGCGAAGACTTATTCAGCTTTTCCACACCATAACTAGCTACAATGATTTTACAACTAGTCATAGTCAAATGGGGTGTCATGTCTTCCACATAAAGTAGTTTCTTATTGGATCTCAGCCTTGCTCATACCTAAGTTCCCATTACCTATTCTTTTGTGTATATCCTCAATCCATTCACAAGACGCAAGCATGCGCCCAATCTGGAACTAGAGGAGTGAGGGCGAACATTACTTGTTGGCATAAACAAATGACACGATAATACACCAAAATTAGAAATTGTCATTATACAATACCAAAGCTAACTGTTGTTTTATTGGCGTACTATCGATATGAACAGGAACGAGCAATTTTTTATTTATTTGAACACGATCATATGATGTTATAATTTCACTCAACTTATAACTCGTGAGTTTGTTTTAAGTTAAAAGAATGAATACAATAACTTCAAAAAGTGAACATTCCTAATATTAGTTCACAAAATTATATTTATATTGAATTTATTCATCAAATTAAGAGAAAAAGATATATTTTTTTTGTCAGGACATCCCTTATCGAGTACGATAGCGATTGGAGTGGCTGATCCACTACGTACAGAGCACTCTGATTATGATTATAAATTGGATGCTGCTAAAGCTGCTAGAGAAACAATCAATACAGCTCAACTCTTTTACAACTCCATTTCTACTTTCGCACAAAACAAATATCATCGTCATGGGGATGGGGTTTTACAACTCCATTTCTGCAGTGTTTTTGTCATCCTTTTTTATGCATGCTTTCATTCTTCACTCTTGCCTTCCTTGTTTCGCCCTTCCGGGAAATGAGACAGATAGACTCGCTTTGCTTGAAATCAAGGCTAGCATAACTCATGACCCTTTTAAAGTCCTGACTTCATGGAATGAAACCATCCACTTTTGCTCTTGGCATGGCGTTACATGTGGTCGTCGTCGTAAGAGGGTCACAAGCTTGAGCCTGCGGTCCTTGAAACTAGGAGGATCTATGTCGCCGCATGTTGGGAACTTGAGTTTTTTGAGAGTCATTGATCTCCAAAACAACAGCTTAGGCCATGAAATTCCTCCAGAATTCAGCCGCCTGCACAGATTGCAACAACTACGGTTAAATAACAATTCACTGAGTGGAGAAATTCCCACTAACTTGTCGCGTTGCTCTCAGCTCCTCTGGCTCGATGTTGGTTTCAATGTACTGATGGGAAAGATTCCAAAGGAGCTTGGCCTCTTGTCAAAGTTAAGGGTTTTTATCATCCACTCTAACCACTTTACAGGAGGAGTCCCTACTTCTTTTAGCAATTTATCATCTCTTGAAGTGTTCTCCGCAACTACTAATAATTTGAGTGGCACTGTCCCGGATATTTTTGGACGAATGACCAATCTTAGCTTTCTTTCTTTCGGCCTAAATAGCTTTTCGGGTATGCTTCCTCCCTCAATCTTTAATCTCTCTTCTCTCACAATCCTTTCTATGGGAGGGAATGAAATCCAAGGGAGTCTACCCTCAAACTTAGGTATGGTCTTTCCGAGTCTCCAAACATTTTTTATTTACATTAACCAATTCAGTGGATCTATTCCTGTTTCATTATCAAATGCCTCAAATCTATTTAGATTGGGGATCGGAGGTAACCACCTGCATGGAAAAGTCCCTCCATTGACGAATTTGCATAAGCTTGAGTTGTTAGAACTTGCTGACAACCATCTCGGAAGTGGGGGAATTGATGACTTGACCTTTCTCTGCGATTTGACCAACGCCACCCATTTAGAAATTCTCTCAATGTTTACCAACAATTTTTGGGGCACGTTACCTCAGTGCATAGGAAACCTGTCTTCTACTCTTCAAATCTTCAATATAGATCAAAATAAAATATTAGGAAGTATCCCGAATGAGATTGTAAATCTGGCTAACTTAGAGCTTTTGGGGATGAGGGAGAACCAATTTTCAGGTCACATTCCCCCTGGTCTGGGAAAGCTGCACAAGTTATATCAATTAACTTTTGATGGGAACTCTCTCTCTGGCAATCTTCCATCCTCTTTCAGAAATTTAAGTCAATTAAATGTGTTAAGCTTAGCAGGCAACAAACTTAAAGGCAATATCCCGCCGAGTTTAGCAGAGTGTCAGAATTTGAGGATCTTAGATCTTGGTGCCAACAATTTTAGCGGTATCATATCGCAAGAAATCTTTGGTCTGCTGAACTTGTATGAATTGAGTTTAGGACAAAATCAGTTTATAGGCTCCCTGCCAGAGAACATAGGAGTTTTAATAAATCTAGAGTATTTAGATATATCTGATAACATGTTATTCGGTAAAATTCCGGCTAGTCTTGTTAGTTGTGTAAAATTAGAGTACCTAGACATGCATGGAAATTTCTTCAATGGGACAATTCCATCAACTTTGAGTTCACTAAGGGCTGGTTTGGTATTGCTGTGCTTTGAAAAAAAACTGCTTCTGCTGTGCTGTGAGAATAAGCAGCTGTGAAATAAAGCAGCAGAGTGTTTGGTAAACTTTTTTGTAAAAGTGCTTTTGAAAAAAAAAAGCAGTATTAGAGTGTTTGGTAAACTTTTATGTAAAACAGATGTGAAAAAAAGCCAGTTTTTCAAAGCTAGGTTTTGCAGCTTCTTGTTTTTGGCTTTTTTTCATCCAAAACTGTGAAAAAAAGCTGAAGCTGAGTGTTTACCAAACACAAAAACAGCTCCCAGCTTTTTTTGATAGCAGCTTTTTTTCAAAATCACCTCAGTACCAAACCAGGTCTAAGAGGTCTTTTAGAATTGTATCTTTCTCACAACAACTTGTCAGGCACCATTCCAGAATTCTTAGAAGGTTTTGTATTTTTGGAATCTCTGAATCTATCTTATAACAATTTTGAGGGCATGTTGCCGATCAAAGGAGTGTTCAAGAATGCAACGGCGACATCAGTTGAAGGAAATAGCAAGCTTTGTGGGGGCATACCTGAGTTTCATTTGCCAAAGTGCAAACTCCAGCATGCAAAAAAGAAAGGATTGAGCTTAACCATGAAATTGGTTCTCTCCCTCGTTTGTGGGATTCTTGGAGTCATTTTTGCACTAACCTTTTTGTACCTTTATTGCTCACGGAGGGACAAAAAGGATCAAGCTGCAACTGATTCGGACAAATTTCCCCAGGTGTCTTACCAAAGTCTTCTAAAGGCAACAAATGGATTCTCCTCAACCAACTTGGTCGGTATGGGCAGTTTTGGGTCCGTTTATAAAGGAGTATTTGAGCAAGGTGAAACTACAGTTGCCATCAAGGTACTCAACCTCGTTTGTCGCGGAGCTTACAAAAGTTTTATTGCTGAGTGCGAGGCTTTCAAAAATATTAGACACCGTAATCTTGTCAAGGTACTCTCAGCATGTTCTGGTTTTGATTATCGCGGTCACGACTTCAAGGCCTTAATTTATGAGTTCATGGTTAACGGGAGCTTGGAGGAATGGCTATATCCAATTCATACAATTGGTGAGACAAATGAGAGGCCAAGGAGCTTAACAATTTCTCAGAGGTTGAATATTGTTATTGATGTTGCTACGGCATTGGATTATCTCCATCATCATTGTGAGACGCCAATAGTTCATTGCGACCTCAAACCCAGCAATATTCTTCTCAATGAGGACATGGTTGCACATGTAGGTGACTTCGGGTTGGTGAGGTTCCTACCAAAAGCTGCTGAAAATTCTTCGGGAAATCAATCAAGCTCTTTAGGGATCAAGGGAACTATTGGTTATGCTCCTCCAGGTAAATACACTTGGTGGTTTATTTTTCCCTAGCTAGTATTTTAAAATTGTGCAGTATTTATTTTAAAATTTTCAAACATGAAATGAGCTTTTAGCACTTCACTAGAAAATTAGAATCTAATGTTCTGAATTGTGGAATGCAGAATATGGCATGGGACATGAAGTGTGGACACATGTGTACAGCTTTGGCATCCTCCTGTTGGAAATATTTACAGGAAAAAGACCGACCGATGACATGTTTCAGGGAACTTCAAACCTTTATAGCTTTGTGAAGGCAGCTCTGCCTGAGCAAGTGGAAGAGGTTTTGGATCCCGTTCTTGTTCAAGAGAGCAATCATCCTAATGAGGGGAGGGCAAGGAATCACATCCTAATCATAGAAAGTTTAATCTATGTTTTAGAAATTGGTGTTGCTTGCTCAGCGGAGTTGCCTAGAGAAAGATTGAACATCTGTGATGCTGTGGCACATATGTGTCGAATCAGAAACAAACTTCGAGCAAATGGTATATGCGAATAGAAGCTTATTGTTAATAATGTGGTATAGCATGTAATAGTATTGATGTTATGTGAAAGCGTTCTCGTATTTGTTAGATAAAAAATGCAGTGCAAATGGCTAGTTGATCAATGTTTGCCAAACAAACTTACTTGCATCGAATTATGCTTGAACAATGACGTTCTAGCTTTGCCAAACATTACAGGACGAACACTCTGAAAGAATTAAAATTAAAAAACAAAGTTGTGGAAAGTATTCATCAAATTTCAAACCTATGTTGGATTTCCTGCTCCCTGTTGAGAGGCTTATCCCTTGTTGAAAATGGGAAGCGTTCCATAGTAGTTTATTGCTTTTGTTAATTTATTTTTTTAGAAAACCTAAACGGTATGAGGAGAATTTTATTAATAACAAAAAGTAGGTTACACCTAGTCAAGGGAACATAAACCTAATTCCTCGTAATACAAGAAAAAAGAAAAAAAATACATGAAAAAGAAGGGGATATAAACCTTACTCTTCTATAAACGAAACAATAAAGATACAAAAATACGCATTCATCAGTCATCCATTCTTCAACATTTATGTGAGCATTCATCACCCATTCATCAACATTTATCTTTCGCTCACTCACTCTTATATTTCATTAAAATATTGTTTTACATATAGTTTGGGGGTGGTCCAGGCAACACAGAGGTGGGCATTCATCAAAGCCATGTCACAGAAAATTACATGAGCATTGACGAAATTTTAGGTCTATAAATGCATGAGAGAAACATTTCACAAATCCGTATGACTTTCAGAGATATTAAACCATGCTTAATTTTAACGCAGTGGAGGGATTTGATTTACCTTTCATTTTGTAGATCCGAGTTCTTGCAGCCATCTTTGCTGTGTGTACAGCACCTTCATTTGTGAGCCATTGCTCCTTGCATTTCCTATTCCCCGAGGCCTTACTCGGATCCCCAAGTCCACATACAGAAAACATACATGCATGAGTCAGAATTTCGTTTTCATTTGAGCTTCGGTTGTGAAAGCGAGAGGGAGAAATGGTTGGATGCATTTTTATTTCACATATCGCCAAGTGGAGACCATAATCGCAGAGAGAATGAGAGATCTTTACCTCGGTTTTCAAAGATCGCCATGGCTGGGTTCCGTTTTTGACAGAGATGGAGATGGATTCATGTTTTGACGTTCTGGGTTGATGATGGAAGCTAGGGTTTCAGTTCCATGAGAAATGAAGGGAAAGAGGAAATGAAGGAGATAGCTTTCACGGCTCTGGGCTCGTGGGTACGGCGCCAGTTAGGAGAGACGAGGAAACGGGCCTCTAGTTCATGTTTCCTGTCACGGGTTCAACCCTCCAGAGCACTGAAATTTTGCTTCTTTTCCCAATATTTTCCAGCGCCTCTGTTTCTTTCTTGTCAGCAGGTCAACACTTCGAATCGCAGGTGTGTCGGTTTCATTGTCTTTTCTTTTATTTCTGTTCCTGTTTCCTTTGTTATTTTATATTTTCTTTTATTGTTTCTTTCTTTTATTTTCTTTTGTCTTTGTTAGCTATTTTTCAGTTTTTAAGGTTTTAATATTTTTGTTTTCTTTCTTTATTTTTTCCGCACCTTGAGGATAATGTGTGATTTAAGTTTAGGGGTGGAAAGGTAAAATTTTTAGATTTTTAATTTTTAAGTATGCTAAAATTTTTCATTCTTTTTAAGTTAATATTCATAGATTATTTTAAACATTTGAACAAATGAACATGGTGGAAATTAATTCCACAGTAGAGTCTTTTCTATTTATTGTTGTTTTGGCACTAATTCATGAGTTATCCTTTCACAATTAGCACATTCACACCAACATGATTTGTGGGGGTGAGATTGAAGCACTTGCTTTTCATCTAAGTTAATTTTTTATATTTTTATTCTAAAAAAAATAAAGTTTATTTATTGTTATAAATAAAGTAATAATTGTTCCACCGAGATTTTGCTTAGTAACTAGGTTAGTCATGCCTAATCAGCAGTGATCTCGCGTCAAATAGTAGAGTCTTGGCATGGGATGAGGTGGTTAGTTGGTTTCATAGCCTTTTCAGCTCGAGTTAGTAAGTCCTTAGGGGCATTCTACACCTAGTGCCCCAAAGCCCTTGTGGTTTGGGAGCCATTGACCTAAAACTCATTACATGGGTTGGATCGAAAGTTTAAGTGAACTAACATTGCACAACCACTTTTATTACCATCTTCTTCTTCTTTTTCTTAAGCCTTTTCCCACCATGTGGGGTCGGCTGTGAGGGATGCAACACGAGGACTTTCTAGGCGGTCACCCATCCTAGTACTACTCTCGTTCAAACTCGTTTAACTTTGGAGTTCGGATGGACTAGACTCTGTGGTGGTAAGGGTTTTAGGTTAACTTCAAAATAGTTATGTTTGAAGTTAGTAAGTATTAACTAAAATGGACAAGTGGTAAGGGTTTTAGTCGAGTCTTTTTAACCATGTTGATTCATTTTATACCAAATGAAGTTCATGAGTTTTTTTCTAATTAATTCTAAATGGCTTAGACTTTGTGGTGGTATTGGTTGGAATTTTTTAAAAGATGTTCTAATTTTAACATTTTTTATGGATTGCAACTTGAAAGTGAAAATTGTCATAGTCAATTTTTGTTAAAGTTTTTAGTTTGTTAGTTTTTATTTTTTGTTTTTGAGTTTTGTTTTGCTAGAGGACAGGCAAAAAACTAAGTTTGGGAGTATTGATGAGTACATATTATACCATATATTTTACCCTATTCTTAGTTATAATTTATTGGTTATTTTGGTAGAATTTTGATACTTTGTTATGTATTTTCAATGCAAGGCATTCGACTTCCTCTTGAGTAAAAAGTGATCAAGCGGATGAATTTTAGAGATTTCAATTGAAGGATGTTCATGAGTCTTTCAAGATGATTGTCCCAAAATTTCAGATTTTTCTACCAAGTCGTTTAACCGCGGCGAAGAAAAGAAGGCACAACGCGTAGCTTTCCCAGATTGACGTTTTTGAACATTATGGGTATTTTGGAGGTGAAGATGGAATATTTTGAGGAAGATTTGTTTTGAGGATTTGATGGGGACGATGCAGGTTTTGTAACACATTGTGCATAACTGCATTTAAAATATCTCTTACAACTTAAGGTGTGAAACATTTAAAAAGTTAAGGAATAAATAGAAATACCTGCTGCTGAAAGATTAGATTGATCCTAGGGGAGGACATCGGATCTTTTGCACTATTAGCTGAGGAACTCTTCAAACCATTATCACCCTTTTAGCCAAACCTGACGCTGAACAAATATCCAGGCGAGCATCAATCCAGGTCAGATCACCGTAGAGCTCTCCAAATTTTCCGTGCTGGAAAGTATAGCAGAGAGAGCCGAAAAAATCAGCACTGAATGGACTTCTCTTCTTACTGCTCCAAGAATTGCCCTCGTCTCCCCTCATATCAACTGCCACTGGGTTGTACCCATCCTGAAACCAGGCAGTGCAGCTTCCACCTAAAATGTAATGCCACCATTGACCAGAAGAAGTGAGAATGGCATTACAATTTCATTTTGCAAACGAAAGGGAACTATATCACTAACAATGATTAATTTTGACAATTAAAGAATTTCGTACCTGGCCTTCCCTGGGGCAAACATCAGGAAATAGTTAAAGTAAACACCTAAAGATACTGCATACTGTCGGCAACGGATCTGGACTTGTAAACACAAAAAAAATATTGAATTGCTCTGTTAGAATTTGTCTCTAGAATTATTTTTATTACTATTATTTTCTTTTACTGCAGTCACACCTACCACCACGGAACACCATGAAAGGAGCTGACATACTCCTTAAGTCTACTGGCTTTTAATATACTAAAGTAGAAAACTACACACATACAATATAAATGAAACTAAGAGGTACCAAAACATGTATACATGTATAAAAACATGCAAATGTATAAACTAAAAAATTATAATATACACCTGAGTATTGATACGAAACTTCCAAAAAACTGTAACAAGATAATACAAGTTATCACAGAAAATATGAGTAACGTGTTAAATTACCAAAAACTCCATATACTGCAGCATGAGGTTCTTTAAGACGCACATCATAAGATGGCCGCCAAAACAAACATCTTAAAGGTAAGGAAGCTGCAAACATCTTAAAGGTTGAGAAAATTTAATGCATGGCTCATAATTTAAACAGGAAGATAAATAAAGGAAATAAAGGTACAGGCATGAACTTTTTCACTCAAACAGCTTAGGCAGCACATGTGCAATGTTAAAAGTACTGATATTAACTTTGTCAGTACATGGCTCTTAATTTATAGACGTGTAACTTTCCAATTTTATCTATGTTCCCTGCAGTGCATTTGTGCAATGTTATCAAGTCATGTAACCTATAAAGAAAAGTGGTAAACAGAAGACACTTGTAAATTAAGATTTTTGAAGCATGTTGATATATACGAACCTATATACAAGGTATGTTCAGGAAAGAAATGAAAAAATTGTGGCCTCATTTGGTCTCTAAGATTGGTTTGAAATGGACAACCCACTATATTCAAGGTATGTTGACAAAAGAAATGAAAAAATTGTGGCTTACTTGAAGGTAGGAGATGGATTATTTTCCATTCCAATCCACCAAAATGGTAAGGATCAGAAGAGATTTTTTCCATATCCCCCTTCTAATCACCTCAGTATGAAAAATCATTCACCCCTATCTTTAATATACCCTCAATATAGCAGTTTGTCCATTCCGTTCCAATCCTAGAGACCAAACAAGGCCCTACTTTTCAACAATTAATAAATTAGGAAACAATACTTTAAGATTATACATGCTGACAGAATCTGGTAAAGTTCAAGTGATACATCCCTATAATTACTTATTTTTAACTTCAATTCCTATAAGAGAAATTTGTCATATGAAAGAAATAAAAAATCGCAGTTGGATGATACTACAACCTGGCATGAACAAACCCCAAAAAGAACTTTAAACCTAACAACTCCAATCAGTAAACAAATTATCCACCTAGCCATAGTAATTGTACAAAAAATGAAGAAATTGACACCCATAAATCCCTCAAACTAGCTTCAAAAACCCGGCAAACAAGGGACAAAAGGAATTCTGACTGTTTAAACATTTGATTAAAGGTCAAAACAAGAAAGTAAATGCATGCCTTATGAAAGAGCATCAATTTGTTG